GTCTGATGTCTTTCTCGATTAGGTCGTGACCCCGCTAGATCCCTTCTGCTTTTGTTTCTTCGGTCTTTCCTAGATTCCACTTGGATTGAGGTTAGACGTTGAGTAGGTTCGTTGAGATCATCCTCGTCAGCTCTCACCTCGGTGCAATAAGCGTTATGTATTTCTTCCCACATGGTGGGAGGGTACTTCATTAGTCTACTCAATAGTTTCTTGGTTTTCCTCGACCTGCTCCTGTTCAGACCGTTTTGAAAGGCTGCTACTGCCATTCCCTCTGATACATTTGGAAGGGTCATTCTCACTTTGTTGAACCGGGCGAGGAAATCCCTGAGCCCTTCGCCAGGTGACTTCCTGATGGCGAATATGTCATTCACCCTAGCTTTCACTTTCTTGGCCCCTGCATGGGCGGTGACAAATTTGTCGTCTATTTCTTCAAATATCTGTACGGACCGTGCGGGCAGTTGCGAGTACCATATTAATGCTCCTCCGGTTAGGGTTTTACCAAACTTCTTTAGCAATATATATGGCACTTGTTCCTTAGCGAGGTCGTTGCCTTTCACTGCGGTGACGTGGTGGATGATGTGATCCTCAGGGTCTGTCGTGCTGTCATATATTTTCATGTATGGCAGCATTTTGAAAGTTTTTGGTATAGGCCTCGTCGCTATATGGTTGTTCCACAAACCGGACGGCGTCCCGCTTTGGTAGGAGTTTTGGGGCGCTTGATATCTTATCTACCCTTTCTTGATACTCTCTCATTTGGTCGCGGAGTGCTTTGTTTTCGCTTTCTATCTCCTCCATCTTTCTGAGGATGGCAGTGAGGGCGTCGTTACCTGCATCATTAACAGAGTGAGTGATACCTGTCGAGGGAGGTTGGGTGTGTTGCTCATTGGTTGTTGTGGCGACGTCGACTCGCACACCCTCTCTGCTCGCCCTTTGCGAGGATTTGTTGAGTATACTGTTCAGCGTATTCGTTAGCCATGCCTCTAGAGTGGTGCTTCTTCCGTAGTGGACATAGAGGATCCCTTCCCATGAGAAGCGGTGACGCTGCCGTGAGGGGGAGGTGAGTCACTTCGCCTAGGTGAGGCATTGGGTGTCACATTTTCCTCGTCCTCTCCGTGAGTTTCGTTGATGGTGTTTAGGAGATTAGCAGTAAGGCTTGCTACTGCTTTTAGTCTTTCTTCTCCATTTCCTGCCATGTTAAATTATGCAAGTAGGGGAAAGAAAACTTTGCACTTTGCTATTGGTGTGTTTTTGTAGATCTAGAAAGACTATGACTTTGACTAGAAAGTCCCCACAGACGGTGCCAAATTGTTTGACCAAAAAGTATACTACTCTTTGTTAAACTAGTTAAATGATAACTGAGGTGAAAGGTGAATCCTAGTCAAGCATAATAATTCCTAGATCTAGTTTAGAGTTTGGGTGACACCGTTTACCAAATGCTCAGAACCGTGTATTCGGTCATTAAATGCACACTTTGGGGAGTAAATGAAGAATGGATAATGAGCAATAAATATGAGAAATGGCAATAAATGTAAATAGGAAGAACAATTCACCCAAATATTAAATGATGTGGAAGATTCTTCCTTCTGAATACGAAATATGGCAGTAGACAAGAATATGAGTAATGCTTTCTTGGATCATGTGAGTGGAAAGGAAGAATAATCGATAAAATCAATCACTATGGAAAGGTAAACTTTGTATTTTCTCTCAATGGTCAACTTCTTACAATAGTTTTCTTCGATTCAATCTCACGTGCCCCCTTTCTTCTCTCTCTCTTTCCCTTTATATGGGATATTGTCTAAAAACCCTAAAAAGTACAACAAAGGGAATATCCAGGAGAATATTCCTGTCACTAGTTCCAATACTACACTAGCCGTTATTCTTATTCTTTGCTATTCGACCTCGACCTCTACGGCTCGCTCAGCGACTGCTGTTGTTGGGCTTTGGTCGACCTCGTCTATCTGCCCAAATCGGAACACATTCTTTTCACCTTATGATCTTTCCACGCCCAACTTTCTCAGCAAGATTTTGACCTATACACAACAAATTCTTAAAATTAAATGGGACTAGATTATTTTCACTTTTTGAATTAAAATTATGCAATAAGTATTTCGATATTATACCATGAATTTCTTTAATACCAAAATGGTGAAAGAATACATTTTAAATGATAGTCACGATTCACTTGATCGACTCTCGAGAAGAAAAAAATACAAACAATTTGGAACACTTGGGGGAAAAAATACCTTGATGATACGCTATTAATAATACCTACTATAATTTTACTCTATTTTTTTTGGTTTCTCATTCGGTGTTCAGTATTCGCATTGCAGTTCAATTAAATTCGAATTCACCCTGATTATAGATGAAAGACTACTTAAAATTCCATCACAATTCTTATTGGTTATAATTTACGCTCTATTATTAGTCGATAAGTATTCAAAGACATGCACCCACAAGATAAAAGTCAGAGAAAAGCAATCAATTGGGGTCTTTAACTAATTTACACATTGTAGACAAGATAAGATCCCAAATGAAATCAAGATGGATTCTTCTATAGGGCCAGTCCTCTGAATTTATCAAATTGTCCTCAAGTAATAATAAGTACGTTGTTAATTTAGCACTTACTAGTATCTAGGAAGCAAGCCTTAACATGATTGCACGTTTCGAAAATTGTAGAAACAGAAAAAGGTTCAAACCTTCTACTCGTTTAAAGTAGAGAAAGAGATGCTTCTAAAACTTTACATATACATGTAATTTAATTAGTACTAGTACTATTCAAAGTTTAAATCGTCAATAAAGGTAGTATACCGAAGGAAATGTCAATAAAGCGTATACTAAAAAGACTCGACATAGAAAATTCCAATCTTTACATCCACTTTATTAATATAAATATTTATAAATTTTGTTTAAAAAGAATTTTGAACTTTTTTTGCATTTGCTTTCCCAAATTTCAAAACTGGTGTCATGGTCCAATACGGCTGTTAAGCAACACACCAACACTTCGATTAAAGTATCTTTAACCGGATGATCCGTATTTCACTTTTTTCTATAGAGCCAAATATTCCCATTCCACCACCTTTTCTTTTCCTTTTCTTTTACTTCCTTCTTCTCTTTTTCCCTTTTTAAAAAATTATCCCAAATAGTTGTCCACCTAATCTCTTAAATTAAAAAGAGCCGACGATATATATATATATAGTCAGACTTCTATATAATAACACTCCACTATAAAAGCCAAATTTTTTCGGAATCAATTTTGATGTAATGTTATAGTTATAATATATATTCTCTATAACAACACTTTGTTATAATAGCCAAAAATATTCGGAACAAATAAGGCTGATATAGAGAGATTTGACTATATATATATACATACATACTATGTGAATGTATAACTGTGTACGATCAATATATAAAAAAGTAAGTAGTGAATCTGGTCATCTATTTGTGTAACAATCTTTTTTTTTCTTTCTTTTTCTTCGAAACTAGGTGTATATATATTCACTATATCTTTCTACAAAAACTGTACTACACGTGGAGCTTCCTGTCACGTGCCTCTCTTCCGTCTTAGAAAAAGACAGAAGGAAAGTCCAAACCCACCCTTCATTCAAACTAGCTAGGTTTAGGGTTTTAATATTTTTCTCTTCGTATGAGACCAAATAATTGCATGAGCCAAGATTTTCTATGCTCACTTTACTACCACTTTTTTCTTAGACAAGATTTGAGAAGCCTCTCATTTTTCTCCACTTCTTCTTACTTTTCATTTGGACTAAATCAACTGCTTTCAATTCGAACTATATAAAAATATCAAAAATTAAAATATGCGCATATTAAAAAATCACACTTATTATGTACCTATTGAATTTAAATCTTGATTGAGTTCTAAGTGTGTGGGATTTTTTTATTAAGAGAAAAATAACGATGTATTTAAAAGACACTACACAATCTTATATTGAAACTTTAGAACAAGCAAAGTTGTAGGGGAAAAAGGAAAGATGGTTTTCTTAACCACCGGTCAAAACCTATCTCCCTCTCTTTCACTTTGCTTAGGCAAAAATCCAAAGAGTGACTAATGATAAAGAAGTTAAAAGAAAAAAAATCAAAGAAAGAAGAAAAGAGAAAAAGGATCCAAAGAAGGTTTCAAAGAAAACAAAATCAGATACTTAAAGTAGGAAAAGACATAGGTTTTTCTTCTGGTCTTCAGAAGAAGTATAGAAGCTAGCCTTGATAGAAACGTTTCATAAAAACATAATTTTTTCAGTCAGTTTCTCAAAAAAAAAATTTTTTTTTTGCTATCATCGAATAACCAACCATTTTATATATTTATTTGGCTTTTGCTCTCTGTACATGATTTTGTTCTCATCTCTGTGTTTGTTTCCTCACTTTTTTGTTACTGACCGTGCAGTTCAGTAAACGAGAAATTGAGATACTACACAATCTTAAATCACATAAGTCATTATGATTACGAAGTCTTACTTTTCCTAAATCATAGTTTACTTTCTTGCTGATAATAATTGTGATAATTACCTCAATAATTACCACATCCTTAGTGCTAATACTAGTACTAACATTTTCGCCTAACAATTTTGAAATACTCGAGCACATTTTCGAATGTCAGCAGCTTTTCTCTCTCTCCTTTTTCTTGATTTCAAACTTTACATTTCAACTCTGAGAACTAAAGACACGTTAGTATTTCTTTTTTTTGTTGTTGAGATATGGCCATATTTGTACGTACCATTCATTAATGAATTGATCAGAGAAAGCCCCAGAGCTAAAATTTGTCAATGGACTGAACGTTGTTAAGCTTTCTACATTAGTTGAACTGAAAAAGAAGAAAGCTTTCAGAGCCTTACTTTCTCTCGTGTGCATTAATAAATGCAACTGAAAATATTTCAGAAACAAAGGAGAAGGAGAAGGAGATCGAATTAGAAAGACCATTAATCGAGGCCAAGCAAATAAATGCACCACTGAAAGTAAAAAAGAACTAGTAATAAAAACAGTACTTTAACAAAAACCCACCTGCATTAATGGTTTGGAACATAATATTACCGGCACTAAAGTTATATTTACAAACTGGATTAACAAATATGACAAAAACTCACACGCACAACTTCTCATGATCGATCCACTAACATTTTAGAAAAATGTAAGAGGCTAAAAATAAGATACTAAAAAGCTAGAGGGAGTAAAAGAAAAACTTGATATTTCTTGAATAAAAATAATAAAGTCTAAGAAGAAGAAGGGGGCATAAGATTTAAACCAAGGTCATCTTTTTCCAAGACTAAACGAGCTTTGTTAGTCTCCACCATATTAAATGAAGAAGAAGAATATTCAGGGTGAACTCTTTTCTTGGACATAAGTGGAACACCAAATAGTTTAGTACTTCTATTAATACCCATATCAGCTGCTGCTTCTTCAAGAATTGTCACACTGCTGCTTTGTGATGTCTTACTTGGAGAGTTCACGTTGTTGAAATTGCTCATCATTATGTTCATTCCATTGTTGATCATTCCTTGTCTAGGATTAATCATATGTTTTTGGACAATAGGAGTAGCAGAAGCAGGTAATAAAGAGGAAGGATTATATGAACTACTAGGTGCAACTGGTTTAACATGATTTTGAACAAAGTAAATAATGTCATTGTATAGTTTTCTCATATGAGCAAGTTCAGACATAAGCATATTATTGCTTCTTCTTAGCCTTTCATTATCTTCTGAAAGAGCAGTGACAGTAGTGTTGTTATTATTGGAAGAAGTTATAGTTGTAGGTGAATCGCACCAATTGATATTGGGTTGTTGTTGTTGCAGTAGTAGTTCGTCTGAGTCAGGTGGTGAAATGCTAAGCCTATTATTATTTGGGTAATTGGGAAAAAAATTTGGACCACTCATGTTCATTTGATGGTTAAGGGAATGGTGGTGATGATTCATAGATATTTGTGGTTGAGCTGTTTTTCTACGATGGATCTCGCACAGCAAATGTTTTTCTCCTCTTTTGAAAAACTCATTAGCAAACTCCCATCTGTCTGGTACAATTTTCCTAAAACCCTAAATACACCAAAAAACAAAAACAAAAAAATCAGTAAACGTAGATAATCTGTAGTAGTATATAATTTTTTTTGAAGAGAAAATAAAGGAAAATATTAGTAGTACTTACATAGGTATTGAGTTGGCGGACGAAGCTAGAGAAATTGTTGTGTTTGAAATAATTAGGGAGAAGGTCACGAGCAAATTCAGGAGGACGCCAAACAATAAAAGTAGAGTCATCTTCACCCCAAGAAACAATATGGTCAGTATTTGGATCATCAACTAGTTGGTATGTTTTGGTTAAGAATGGAGCTGGAACTGATTTGTGTGAATCTAAGGATAATAATATCCCTTCGCAATTGTCTAACATCAAAGCCATTGATTGAACAAAGAAAAGTGTACTAAAAGATCGTTGCAGTTTTTCTTGAATATTTAGAGAGAAAAGAGGAGAGTGGCAACACTGAAACAAGATGACAAGAAAACAATGTTAAGAAGAAGAGAGACTGAGGGAGGTAATAAGGAGGTTATTTTTGTGGATGGGGGGTGGGGTGACAGGGTAATTGGGGGGGGGGGGGGTTTATATTTTACTGAAGGGTACCTCGGTTATGTAGTGAGAGAGAATAAGTGTCTGTATGTCTAGAACTGTGGAAATAAAGGGCCTTTCAAGACAAACCCGTGACATTTCTTTCTTCTCTTTCTACTGACTTTGATCCTCTCACGCACACTACGGCCCGTTTGGCCAAAATAAATGTTGGATTTATTTTCAAAACTCATGTTTGGCCATAAATTTTGCCCATATTTTGGCCAAATTTCAAATCTCAAATCCCAAAACTTGGGAATTATATACATGTTTTTCCAAAATAAAGTTGGAAAATATATTTTGAAAACGTATGTCCAAACACATTTTCATCTTCAAACCAAACTTCACCCAAATCAGATTTTTCAAAATAAATTTGGTATGTATGGCCAAACGCTAGCTACAACTATATAAAAATGGATCTTAATAAGGTAAGTATAATTTCTTTTTACATTATTAATAAATTTTAACAGATTATTTTTTTCTGTGCCAATTTAAATGACACATTTAAATACATATCTACTCACTTTGATCCTCTGATCACACATAGGCGAAGCTAGGATTTGAGTCTCATGTGTTCGAAATTGTAATATTTTTAAGTTAGTGGTTCTAAATTAATAATTTATGCATATTCAATGAATTTTGTAATATAAATATATGGTTTGAACAAAAGTTACTGGGTTCGACCAAACCCGCATCGCACACTGTAGCTCCACCTTTGCTCACGCATACTTCAAATACATAAAAAATAGATTTTATGTTTTATATATTGATCATGTAAAAAAACTTTATCTCATTTATTGTGGAGAATATAAGTTATATATGTATTGATAGTGTAATAATTTTTATACTACTAGTGTAATTCAATTAATATGTTGTAACTAATGGCGGAGCCACCTTATTCTACGTACGGGGTGTCAACTGAGACTTATTCATCGTAAAATTATACTGTTTAACTAGTTAAAATATATATATATATATATATATATATATATTTAATACATTGACTCTCCATTTTTTTCGTGTGTTTATTTTACATCTTAAATTCTATTATGAATAATACGATATATAATTTTTTATTAACTAATATAAAAGCGTAAATTTATTTTACGTTGTAACTATATGAAAATTAAAAACTCAAATATTTTTGAATCACGCAGCCACTAGTGGAAGATGAAATTGACGGTGCCACACATGCTTCTTTCTATACACCTTCTCCAATTCCCTTTTCACTACTGTCTTTTATAGGGGTAAAATCTCTCTCTTCTTTTTTGGCTGCCTTTGCTCTTTAACCCATGATACTGCTACTTCTGGAGATTACTGGTTTTACTACAGTTCCAAACTAAGCTAAGTTTCATTAGCTGCTCTATTTTTACCGACCTTTGACTAGCTATGACTACTTTTTCTTGACATTTGACATATTTTAGGAAGTATTATATCGATGCATGGAAGCATAGCTAAAAGTTCTAAAAGCAACGATTACAGTAATTATTTTGGTCAATCCAGTTAGTTTCGTCAGAAGTATTATTAATTGAGGTAAGAATTATAGAGATGTACTTAAAATATAGTAATAATGTTAAAGCAAAAAGGAAAAAAAAAGGAGAGAGAGTATGTAAGTAAGCAAGTAATCCTCCTTTTAAGTTTCCACTATAAATCCTTAATTAAGTACAAATTTAGTTTACTACCATTTCTAAGTCATTTCCTTCCTTTAAAAGGTTAGGGGATTTTGACCAAAATTCTCAAACTACATTGGGATAATCTTTCATAATCCACCTGTTTCAATTTAAATGACACATTTTTCTTATTAGTTCAATCCGAAAATAATGACACATTTATATATTTAGAAACAATTTAACTTAAAACTTTTTATTTTATCCACTTTATTCTTAATGAGAAGCTTTCCTTTAAGCTTTTAGTATCTCATGTTTCTAAAGTCTTTTTTTCCCCTTAAATTTTATGCTAAGTCAAACTATATCATCTAAATATATTGTGACCGAGTGAGTACTTATTTTCTTTTTGCTATCTCCGCACTATGTTAAGTTTTGGTAGGAAGATTGCTGTTTTCATCTTACGTACAAACACTTGTGGAACGTACAAACCCATAATTATTACTCCTATGTTCATCAAATAAATAGTTCTTAAATTGGGTAATAATAAAACAAAAAGGGTAAATTGGTCCTCCTTTGTAGATATTCTGTCCTTTGCAAAGAAACCTACTACAACCATATGAAAACTACAAGGAAAAAGAAATGGAAGAAGAAGAAGAAGAAGAGTGGTCTATTTTAACTTCACGTCAAACGAGTCTCTTCTGTTTTTCATTTTGTAGGTTTCTATTTGTTGTATTATGGCACCAACCCAACAATACCACACTGTTACTCTCTTCCCAATTTCGAATCTAATCATTTTTAATTTTTCTACTTCTCATCTTACTGTTCCTTAGCAGGCATAAAGCATAATAATAAGGTTAAAAAAAAAAAAAAAAAAAGTATCCATCGAACTACGTGACATGATTCAAAAGCCTGTTCCTAGTGACGACATTTCACATCTTCTTCTTCTAATTGCTTCTCTTCTTTGTAAATATTCCAAATTTCATAATCTCGTACAATTTTTTGGTGGTTAATTTTTGAAATTTCTCACTCCCACTCTCTCTTATTTATTCAATAGTGTTTTTCTTTCACTTTTTAGACCGTTTCTAGGCTTCTTTGAGCCCCTTACCTCAACTAACAATTTTTTGGTTCGCTTTTTGACGTGTCTCAGGTGTATTTTGAATTATTGGCCTAAAAAGTTTTCATGAATAGCTGCAAAAAAATCATTATAGCTTTTCTTTCCTTGTAATGGCCCAAGAATTTCTTTTTCCAGAAAAAAATAATTAGCAAATCAAAGTCCTAGAGTAGTATTTAATTATACTACCTTTTTTTAGTAGTATATATTATAGATTTTTTTGTATACATCAAAACTCACTTGCTTCAACCTTAACTTATGTCAGAATACGAACATGGTTCATAAAATGCATGCAATATATATCATTTAAGGTTTTTTTGGTGGGGTGGGGGTGGGGGTATTTGAGATTCATAAAAGTAAGACATTGATTCATTTTTGATAGTAAGTGATAATAATCGACAGTAAAGTAGGGACATAATAACATGGCCCAAAGTGAAACCATAGGAAAAATGATGACTAATAATTTCAATAAGATACCCCAACTGATTATTTTGATCATGGCTATGATACTCATTATTATTGTTAAAAGAAAGTAAATTTCTCTATTTCACCGCGCCAATCATCACTTCTACCTTTTTTCATTTCTTTTTGGCTGTTCTCCACACAAACTTCTGTCTAAAATTATCCATAACTTCCTCACAAAACTAACAAGTTATCTTCCTTAAGAAGCTAAATTGTTCAAAAGTGATTGCTTTTTATTTTACTACATTACTATATATAAATATATCTTATGGTTTGCTTTCAATGAAGCACATTATTAATTTTGTAGATAATAAAATTGACTATTTCCTTAATTTTATGATGTTCTAATACATATAAGAATCCATCAGTATTCCCGCTTTCTTCAACATGCAACTTTATTTCGGATTGTGCAGAGGTAGGAATTGGACTTTGTACGAGATAACAGTTGTAAGTGTAAAGTTATCCTAATGCGAAGAATTTGTGAACTTTCCAAAGATTTTAAAATTCAAATTTGAACTGAAATCTTACGGCTTGTTTGGATGGTTGTTATGTACATTTAATAATGTATCGTATAATATTGTATTGTATTGTTTTGATCTATATAATCTTTGGATATATAGATTATATTGTTTATTGTCGTTTTATGATATCATGCACCAACAATATGAAAAAATAAACTTGCAATATTATAAAGAAAAAATAAGGTACAAGATAATATTATTATTTAAAAAAGTAGGGTAAAGGATAAAATACGATATATTATGTAATAATAAAAAAGGCAAGATGAGAGAAAAAATTATGTAACGACGCAACTACACCAAATCAGTTGTTTCATAAAATGGTACTTTTCGTCGTTATGTAACGACGAATTTAACGATACGATATAATAAAAATTAAGGAACAATCAAAACAAACATTGTATTTAAAATAATAATACGATACAATACAACAGGTAACAATCTTCCAAACAAGCTATAAGTTTAAATTTAGAAAATCTAACAACACTGTGGAAAGCCCTCTTAGGCAAGTTATATAAGGAACCATATAACTTTGAGGATTTAACTTTTATACAACGAGCGTACAAAGAACTTTTACATTATCAAAATATATTTACTTGTTTTAGCAGATAATCTATCTTATTTTTCGAGTTATTAATCCTACCTTTTATGAATATTAACCTGCAAATATTATCTTAAATTGACATGATCCTGTAAATTTCTTCAATTCTAACTTTAATTCTTATGATCAGTGTAAACACTCACAACTTTTTTCCTAAGAAGTATATTTAGCTAATCAGAAAATTCTGAATAATGCAATGCACATCAGTCCGTATATTGAATACGTCAACAACATGGGTGTAGACCTAAATTTGACCATATATACATGGGTATCGAATAGGACATGAAGGTAAAGAAGCTCTGAATATCGGTACAGTTGTTTATATATTTCAGGAAAAATATATTAAAACACAACAAAAATGTTAAAGAAAACAATTTAATAAAGTGTCAGCTTCAAGTCCCGATAATTTTTTAAAAATGGAGTAATAATAACATAAGAAAAATATTTAATTCTAATTCTGAGAAGAAGACTCTTAAACCTTCCCTTTCTAACTCTTTTTTCTTACCTTATAGATATACTATTCTGTTCTCAGCCAGTAGTTCAAATTTTACAGTTCACACACCGTGGCTTCTGCAATCTGTACACTGTTTCAGCGGCTGACATGGGAGACAGGGTCCTTCTTTTTATATTATTTTATATTGTTTTTTTAATTTTTTTTTCTTTT